CTCCTCTTTTTATCTCAAAGCTCATGTCTAATCCCTGAGCAAATACTCATGACTCCACTTTCAAAATCCAACTTCTTTTCACCTTCTCTTCCACTGCCAATCTAGCCAAGATGTCATAACTGTTTGCCTTGATCCTCCTGTGTCTGTGCGTTCTGCATCCATGGATTCAACCAACCATAAGTTGAAAATATTTGGAAAAAAAGTCCAGAAAGTCCCAATAAGAAAAACTTGAATTTGCTGTGCCAGGCAATTATTTACATAACATTTACATTGTATGAGTTATTATAAGTAATCTAGAGATGATTTAAAGTATACGGGAGGATGTGCATAGGTTATATGTAAATAATACATCACTTTCGATGGGGGCTTGAATATCTGCAGATTTTGGTACCCACAGGAGTCTTGCAACCAGTGCCTAGTGGATACTGGCTATGTGTTGCAATAGCCTCTTACTGCTCTTCCTGCTTCTGCTCTTAAACTACTATACTATGATCACTATGATCACAGAGCAGAAGTCATTCCTTTAAAACAGACGCCAGATTACAGCACCCTCTGCTCAAAGCCACAGTGGTTGCTTTTATCATTCAGATAAACCTGAAGTCCTTTCCAATCTTTCCCCAGCCCAGAGGATCGGCCTCTACTTTCAGATCATTACTTACCTGATCTTATCAATCTACCCTGAAAGGGAGTCCGGGGAGGAGATCAGGAGATCAGCGCACTCTGTGCGCTGGGAAAAAGGGGCAGAACAGGATTTCACAGTTAGATATTTTCAGAGAATTCTATGAGCCCAAATTCTTGCATAGTCTCATCTTTTTGTTGTTTAGTTGCTAAGCTGTGTCCACCTCTTTTCAGACCCCAAGGACTCTAGCCTGCCAGACTCCTCTGTCCATGGGATTTTCCAGGTAAAATACTGGAGTGGGTTGCCATTTCTTTCTCCAGAGGATCTTCTCTCCCAGGGATTGAACCCGCATCTCTTGCATTGGCAGGAGGATTCTTTACAGCTGAGCCACCAGGGAAGTAGCTTATCTCCTACCTTTCAGCTTCTTCTCATTCAACTCTAGCCTCATTCAGCCACTCTTAGTCTCTTATTCAGCTCCAGCCACATTGCCCTCCTAGCCTTAGAGGTTACTCATTTGATTTGCCTGGAGTGTCAGATATTCACATGGTTTGTGCCTTCACTTACTTTTAGATCTCTGTTCAGATATCTTCTCATTAAAAGAAAAAGAGGTTTGTCCTGTGCACCTTACATAAAATTGCACTCTTCCCTGTCTATTCCCTTACTTTTCTTTATTGTTCAAAATAACAACATTTATATAACATTTATATGCCAGGTACTATTCTAAGTAACTTATATTTATTTATTTTTTCATTTATTTTTATTAGTTGGAGGCTAACCCACAACATTGCAGTGGGTTTTGTCATACATTGACATGAATCAGCCATGGAGTTACATGTATTCCCCATCCCGATCCCCCCTCCCACCTCCCTCTCCACCCGATTCCTCTGGGTCTTCCCAGTGCACCAGGCCCGAGCACTTGTCTCATGCATCCCACCTGGGCTGGTGATCTGTTTCACCCTAGATAATATACATGCTGTTCTCTTGAAACATCCCACCCTCGCCTTCTCCCACAGAATCTAAAAGTCTGTTCTGTACATCTGTACAGTAACTTATATTTAATCTTATCACCCTGTAAAAGTGACTTTACTATTTCTGTTTTTTAAAAATATTTATTTACTTGGCTGTGTTGGGTCTTGCAGCATGCAGTATCTTCACTGCAAGTCATGTGAGATGGTGGACTCCCTACATCTTCCCAGGTGGCTCAGTGGTAAACAATCTGCCTCCCAACGCAAGAGACACAGGAGATGCAGGTTCGAATCCTGGGTCGGAAAGATCCCCTGAAGGGGGAAATGGCAACCCACTCCAGTTTTCTTGCTAGGATGATCGCATGAACAGAGGAGCCACAGTCCACGGGGTCGCAAAGAGTTGGACACGACTGACCACACACGCACGCATGGATGGTCTAGTTGTGGCGCGAGGGCTTGGCAGTTGCAGCTCTCGGTTCTAGAGCACAGGCGCGGTAGTTGTGGCCCACAGGTTTAGTTGCTCCAGGGCACATCAGATCTTCCTGGATCAGGGATCGAACCTGCATCCCTTGCATTGCAAGGCAGATTCTTAACCATTTGGACCACTATCGAAGTCCCACTATCTTTGTTTTATGGATGAAGAAACAGAGGTCCAAAGAGCTGAGATTTGAACCTAGGCTGTTTGGCTCCAGCCTGTGCTTTTAGCTACTCCACTATTTTGCCTCTTCGTAGCCCCAGTCACCGCTGTATTTATTTATTATTTCTCACTCTTCCCATATATTTCAGTTATTGTGGCGTAATCAACCATCCCAGGCTTACCAGCTTGAAGCAATGTTACTATTTCTTGGAAACTTTGGTTCAGAAACTCATGCAGGGCTTAACTGGGCTGTTATGTATGCTCCCCTTAACAGTGGCTGGTGTCACTCACTCAGTTGCATTAAAGTGCCTGACACTGGGGAGAAGAACTGGGAACAAAGGTAGGGAAAAAATTCAATTTTCTCTTTATGCCATATCGCACTGTTTAACTTGTAACTTTACAAATGTACATTAGATACGCTTTTTAAAACTTATTTTTAGGAGGATAATTTTTACTCTTATCTTCCTTCCCCTCTTTTCTTAACTTCTGGTATACATTCCTTCTGGACTTTCCTCTTACTTCTTAGACCTTTCCTTAACCTTTTCAGACTCTTTCACTTGTCCCTTAAATACATGGACTAAATAAATACACAGCTCTTTAGAAGGCCTTCATTCAGAAGAATCAGATCTTCATTTCTGTCACATTAATTGGGGAAGAAAACATAAGCCTAGCCTGTATTCAGGGGAAGAGAAAACAGACTCCATTTCTTGATGTCAAGAGTGGCATTTGTATACACGAAGGGAGGACCTGATGGCTGCCACCGCTGGAAACTGTCTTCCACACCACAGAGTGCAAGTTCCATGAGAGGAGGGACTCATCTGTTTGTTCACTGACTCTTTAGTGCCTAGAGCAGCGCCTGGCACATAATAAATGTACAACAAATATTTACTTAGTCCATGTACTTAAGGGACAAGTGAAAGAGTCTGAAAAGGTAAAGGAAAGATCTAAGAAGTAGGAGGAAAGCCCAGAAGGAATGTGTCCCAGAAGTTAAGAAAAGAGGGAAAGGAAGGTAAGAATGAAAATTATACTCCTTTTTTTTTTAGATTTAAAAGCTTTAAAAATAGTTTAAAAAAGCATCTTTAATCTACATTTGTAAAGTTACAAGTTCAAACAATGCTAAATGGCATAGAGTGAAAAGTGAGTTTTTTCCCTACTTTTGTTCCCAATTCTCCTCCCCGGTGTTAGTCACCTTAATGCCTCCTTTAAAAGTCAAAATATGAATGTACAAAGACATGGATATTTATCCTCTTTCTCTCTCTTCTAATGTATGCAATTAGTAGAATACAATTCACATGATTCAGCCTCTATCATTTTTTCTCTTAACCTAACTTCCAGAACATTCCACATTAGTACATACACAACATTTTCTTTCTTTCAAATGGTTGCATAAAATGGTTCCATTCTTTGACTGTATCTTTAGTTTTCAAAATTAGAAGGCAATTACTGATTTCATTAGGCCTGAAAAAGTAGAGATTGCAGATTGGGAAGAAGATTGAGGGCTCAGAAAGTAAAAACAGAGGACAAAGGAAAAAGAAATTAAAGATGAATATGCAGGAGCAGGCTTATATCCTTAAGAATAAAGGTAACAAGGGACAGGGAGATTGAAAATACACAAAAGGGAAACGATAAGTAACTGAGCAAGCCTCTAAGGGGATTGGAAGGGATTAACCTTGAGAGGACAGAACACTTCTAAGGAGAAAGAGAGAGAAGGAAAGGAAGGCTGGGGCTGCAGGTAGTCTTTGTAAAGGTAGCAGTTGGGAGCTAAGGAAATTCATCCTTACTGGTCTCAGTTTCCTCAGAAATGTAGGAAGCAAGCTTTTTTTATTTTTTAAAATTTGCACCAGCAAGGGTAGGTGGTAGAGCTCAGTAAGAACTTAGCAGAGTGTGACGATTGGGAATAGCAGGAGATAGGGACAGGAGAAATTCTGAGTAGCAATATATTAAGGACAGTTTGGGGCTCATCAAGGTTGCCCGGCCACATGGTAGTCCTGACTGAAGTTGGACACCCTTGGTTCGCAGTGGTACGAATCCTCAGGGTTATGTTTTTTCCAGCACTGCTGCTGCAGGAGTGTACAAGCTTGACTGAATTGTTACAGGCTAACGGTTTTGCGAAGAGTTGACACATTGGAAAAGACCCTCATGCTGGGAGGGTTTGAGGTCAGGAGGAGAAGGGGACGACGGAGGATTAGATGGCTGGATGGCATCACCGACTCAATGGACATGAATTTGAGGGGACTCCGGGAGTTGGTGATAGACAGGGAGGCCTGGCGTGCTGCGATTCATGGGGTCGCAGAGCTGGATACGACTGAGCGACTGAACTGAACTGAACTGAACGGTTTTGCAGGTGATGGAGAATCAAGGAGTTGAAGATGTTGGTGAACGCAATAGACCATTTATGCACAGGACGGTGAGACCCTGACTGCACATCTCTCGCTGGTGGTCTGAATACAGGTTTGCAGGTCCAGCGATGGCACACTGCCTAGCCGTAGAGTTTGCATCCACTCTCTGCCAAGAGTGGCGTCTCCGGAAAATCTTCACGAGGGGACTTAGGGGGCTCGAGTTGAGTCGGGGTGGGGTAGTGACTGCAAGAAGCAGACGGTCGTGAAAATGTGTGCTGGGCAAACAGACTGGCTTTACTCAGACTGTACACTGGAGAGCCCAGTGGGAATCACAGGAGAGACCAATTTATTCCCTCCGACCAGACTCCATCCTTTGGAGTCTAAATAAATAACAGCATAAACACAGTAAGAACACTGGCGTCCAGCCGCGCCGCATGGCGATGACGTCATTCTCGCGGGAGCAAGCGGCTCCCGTTAGGGTAGGTACATTCCATCAAAGCAGTCTGAATACATTTCACATTTTAGCCTCTTCGCCTTCAAGTGTAGCGCTTACCCTTCGGACTTGAGCAGCTTGAGGTAGCAACAAAATGACCACGGCTCCCGACCACCCTCCTAGTCGTCTGTCACCATGGAAGCGCTCGGGTAGTTAGGCTGCGGCGACGCCACGTTACGTCACTGCCCAAGTGCTTCTCAGGAGGGGTGGTTCTGCCTGGCCTTAAGGGAGAGGCAAGTGCCCCCAAGGACGTTGCCCGCGGTGCCCACCTCCCCTTGAGTAATTTTGACCCCTACCAGACGCCGTTGGCATCTGACCCCACCTCCTTCGAGGGTGATCTCCTCCCGCCTTCAGACTCGCAGGCCGCCCAGCCCCAGCCGAGAAGCCCCGCCCCCCGTGAATCAGCTGATCTCACGGCCCGCCGAGCTGCTCGCGCCGGATGCAGACCGCGGTGCCGCGGGTGGAGAGTCAGGTGAGCGAGCGCGGGGCCCGGCTTGGCCCGTGGCTTCGGAAGGCTGACCGGCCGGGGCCTCCAGCGTGAGGGTGGCCGGGGTCCGAGAGAAAGGCGGAGGCGCAGGCCGAGGCCCAGGAGCGCTCTGCGGGGATCCGCAGACACGGCGCCCCCGTCTTCCCAAGCCAGCGTCCAACCCGCTGCGCCTGCCTGTCGAGGAGCACCCAACGGCCCCAGGTTCTCCCAGTCGCCCCGGTTCCTCCCTCCTCAGACAGCGCGCCAGTGCGGAGACCTTAGCCTCCTGAAATTCTTCGCGTCCCCCCTTCCCGCCTCCACCACGCTGCCTTCCAGCCATTCATTCCGGAGGATTTATTGAATGCCCACTCTTGGCGCCGACCAGATAAACTCGGGTCCCTGGCCGCGAACCTTGGTGAGTGTCCCGGGAGGGGTTGCCCCTGGATGCAGCTCGCGGTGGCCAGTGGACCAAGGGTTTTGCTGACCTGAAAAGGCGGTCGTGGAAAAAGAAAATGACTGTTATATTAAGAATTAGGAGTTTAGGTTAGTCCTTTGGCGTGTCAAGTGATCCAGCAGAGGGTGGTAAGTTCTTTTGACAAGTGAAGGCAGGAAAATAACACAGGGGTTTTCGTGAGGAAATGGTCCTGACGCTGGTGTTGGTCCTCCGTGTATGTTTGGCTAAAGTGGTGGTGTATTGCTTAGGGCTTTGTTGATGAGGGAAGAGGGAAAACACACGGGCTGAAGTGGCTTATCCAAGTACAGGATTCTCTTTTGGGTTTAGAATGGAAAACTGTTGAATACACACGCTCACCATTTGTCCATGGCATCACCGATGCAATGGACATGAACTTGGGCAAATTTCGGGAGATGGTGAGGTTCAGGGAGGCATGGCGTGCTGCAGTCCATGGGGTCGCAAAGAGTTGGACACGACTGGGCGACTGAACAATGACAACAACAAACGCTCATTCTTAGTCTGTTGCCTTCTGGATTTGTTGGTGGCTGTATATGTTCTTTAAAAGGCTTAAAAAAAATAAAATTGTGTGATGTGTGTTTATTTTGAACAAGTACAGAAATTCAGCAAACTTGGTGGTCCAGTATCTTTTCAGTTTATCATAGATAGGGATGATTTGGAGTGGCCACTTGACCTCTGAGTTAGTGAATACTTTAAGAATTTAAAAGAGTGGAAAATTCGTTTTTGCAGTAGATTACAGTGTTTTAATCTTAATGATACAAGCATAATGGTGAAGATCCTAGGCTTTAGACCTGGGCGTACCTGGAGCCCCAACAACTTACATCTTTGAGTTTGGGCAAGTTACTCATCTGTCTGAATATCCTTATCTTTAAACTGGGGATAAAAATAGTTTCTTTGTAACAGTACCTTTACATGTAATGGTTCACATATTTTTTTTTCTTCTTTACTGAACTTGGCATTGTATGTAAATATTCAATACATATTAGCCATCTTATGTCATTTTCTTTTCCACTACACCATGACCCACTTACTGTTTTCTAAATGATGTGAAAGAGAACTGAATTTTTTCTTTTAGAAAAGAGCTATAGTTTTTAATATCAAGGGTTACTTTCCAGGTAGTTTTATGATGCAGGGGTATATTTAGAGAAAATATGATTTCAGGTTGGTCTGTAGTAACTTTGGTGTTCCATTAGAGCCTTTTAACGGGGAAAATGCTGATGGAATCTGTACCTAGTTTAAATTAATTACTTAGTTTGCAAACTGTGACTAGTATTGGCAGATGTAAGATTCATAGTTATAAGGAGAAATGTTAAAAGCTGTTTCACATTATTAAAATTTGAAAAGATAATGATGCAGAAAATAAAGTACCAAGCAAGTAATTTGAGAGGCAGAATTTGAGTGGCATTATGTAAGCCCCTTATTTTTAAAATTGATTCGTATAATGTGAACTGGTATTCCTTCTCTCCAGATTTCAGCCTTACAGAATTTAGGTCATCATTGACTTACTTTGGACATTTTGACTGTTAAAGAAGCAAAAGGTATGATATGAACCTCACTGAAAACTGATTTTTTTCATATAATTAGATGGAAAGAGTACTATCCTCTACCTCTTCTAAACATGGGTTTAGTGTAGTATTGCTAGGTCCATTCTAAAAGTATTTCCAAAGAATATGACTGACTTGTAAAAACCTTTTGTAATTCTTTATTAACATGAGACAAGGTAAGAAGTGGGTTGAAAAACTATGAAGGAAGTAACAAGTGGTTTTTGAGTTGGTGTAAAAGAAGCCTTTCTTTAATAAAGTGTGAGGTTGAGCCCTTTTCTCAGACACTCAGGGGAATGCTGTGAGGATTTTACTTTGTGAAATTAAACCTATCACATATTCTGGTTGTGTTAGGGATATACATATTTCTGGTAGACTTAGTTTTATTTTTTAGCAATTTTTTCTTTTAATGCTTCATTGATGACCAGGTAATTCAGTCATCAGTTATATGAAAGCAGTAGGTTTAACAGGATATCAGTCCTTAAGAACATGCATGAGAACCACAAATTAAAGCAGCCAACTTGGACTTGATTCTTTTTAGCACTGCATTTATTTTCCTATCCCCACCTGCCATTCCTCTATAGATGTAATGGTGCTATCTTCACATTTTGCCCTGATATTTGCCTGTATCACACAATTGATAGAACAGATGAGCCATTGGTTAGATAGGTGAATTAATTGATCCATGTGGATAGAGCACAGATATTCAAATCAGCAAGGTAATGAGTACTTTGGGGGGCGGCGGATGTTGCAGACTTACTCTTTTATTGTAGAGTTTTTTGTTTTGAAGAAAATGTAGCTTTCTCAACTCTTATGGAAAAAAGACTGGGTCAGTGTGATATGGGTGGGTTTTTCATTCTAGAGTTATTTTCTTCCACAACCTGAATTTTTGTTGAGCTGAATTCTTAACTAGGGGCAATTTCCTAAGCAAACATCTAACAAAGATGATGATAGCAGTTCTTAAAAAATAACAATAAGTAGAACAATCCAGCTGTACTTTTGTAGGGAAATGGATAAACTAGGGTTTATTCATGCAATGAAATACTATCCCCTGGTAAAAATGAGTGAATTAGATCTTTTCTTATCAACATGGATACATCTCAAATACATAATATTGAGTAAAAAAAAACAAATTGCCAAAGGATAGATGCACACAGTATTATGCAACTGTGTAGAGTTTTAAAACAAAATAACATATACTGTTTATTGTTATTTGTGTATCTAGTGAGAGTACATAAACGTACAAGAATATACATGGAAATAAGACATATTAACTTTAGGAATAGTGGGTAACCCTGGAGAAGGAAGGTTTGGATAGAACTCCTTCAGATCTCTGTATAATTTTTTCTTCTGTTTTAAAGAGAGCTGAAGCAGATATGAAAATGTTAAAATATAAAATGGAATGATAGGTGCATGGATTTGTATTTTTAAAGACTTGTGTATGGTTAAAATAGTTTGTGAAACTAGAACCTTATAATTTTTACTTATAATTGGGCTCTCTTCCAATATGCTCTCTTTATTTTACTTTGTAGCTTCTCTCCCTTCAGTAGGAAAAGAATGTGCCAGTGCAGAGCCACTGTGTAAATCTTTTTAAAGAAAGGAGCCAGACCAATTATTTATTCAATTTTATTTTGCTGTTTGACCTGAGCTCCTGGGAGAAATGCTTTCCTTAGGATATACAGAGTGATCCTTCTTAAGAGGCTGCAGGGGAATTCAAGTTCTCAAAACCTTTGAGAAGTACATGATGGCGAATTCTCAGAGTGTAGGGGAGTGCATTGTATCCTGAAGTCCTGAAAGGAATTTGGACAGTGACTCCAAAGTTACTGTAGATATCATATAGTTATTAGCATTTACTTTTTTTCAAGTTTGCATTGGTTAAATTTCATTATAGTGTAGTAATCCTAAGTTTTATACTGCGAATGCAAGTGTTCTAGTTATTGCTCAAACAAAATAATTCTCTTCCTACAGGTATTAATAAGTAAACGTGACAATAATGTATTAAATGGTTGAGTTATGAATTAGGCTGATCCCTAATATAACTCATAAGTTTAAAAAGAATATTATGAGGCCTAATCAAGATACCTGTTATTGGCACTTTCAAAATACTCGAAGTGTCTCCAGAACAGTATATTTTGGCATGTGTACTCCCTGTTTTGTGGCCCCTTTTTGACCTTAAGCCCTGGATATTATTGATCGATAAAATAAGAAATAAGTCAACATAGTTTGAACTGTGTTTCTGTAATGCCTTTTTTTAAAAAAGCAGCCATTTTAATGAAAGAATAGTAGCAAACTATTAAAGGGATAAATAATAATTATATATAAGTATATAATATAAATAATTTCTATATATAAATAATTTATATCATAAGTTATACACTGTCAAGTAATAGTAGGCATAAATGGTTGCAGTACCTGGGAATTTGAGATTCAGTTGCTGAATTATAATATTTATCAGAATGTTTTGTGGGAATTTTAGTATTTCTAGCAAATGCATTTCAAAGAGGTATGCTGCTGCTAAGTCGCGTCAGTAGTGTCCGACTCTGTGCGGCCCCATAGACAGCAGCCCACCAGGCTCTGCTGTCCCTGGGGTTCTCCAGGCAAGAACACTGGAGTGGGTTACCATTTCCTTCTCCAGTGTATGAAAGTGAAAAGTAAAAGTGAAGTCGCTCAGTCATATCTGACTCTTCATGACCCCATGGACTGCAGCCTACCAGGCTCCTCCGTCCATGGGACTTTCCAGACAAGAGTACTGGAGTGGGGTGCCATTGCCTTCTCCGAAAGAGGTATGCAGTGGGTGCAAAAAAGAGCTAAGTGGGTATTGCAGGATATTTATTTTACCATGTTCCCCCCCCCTCCCATGAGCAATATCCATTTTAGAAGATTCTCAACAGTCAGAAGAATACAGTTTTAGTAGGTTTCAGGGTAAGATTTGTTGTTTTTTTGTCACTGAGTCATGTAGGACTTTTTTACAACCCCATGGACTGCAGCCTGCCAGACTTCTCTGTCCATGGTTTTTCCCAGGCAAGGATACTGGAGTAGG